ATTGGCTTACTTGATACTTACTCTGTCAATATATAAGATCATGTTTTAAAATGTCATTAATTACAGATAATGCAATACTTTTCCGTTTTCAGAGGATAGCTTGAAAATGGGTATTCGTCAGAACATGTAACAGCAGGATAAATTATGACATTAGGACACGATTTTAACATACATTCACTTCTCATATTTTTTTTGTGGAATTGTTTTCGACAAAATTCTGGAAAAATATGTCATATTACGGCAATTTCTGCAAATTTATGTTTGAATCGATACTATTTTTTATTTTTTGAAATTTTCTTTTATTATTTCACAGAATCCCATCAAATTTCCACGAGAGAAACAATGTTGTCAGTATTCATCGATCAAATACTAAATCGAAACCTTTTTTCCACTCTCCATCATTCAATTGCTTGATTGTTTACAGATTAACGGAGAAGTCCGCGCTAAAGCAAATAAGGCAATACGCAGACAGCAAATTTGGTGAAATACCACAATTCATCGACAATACGACTCTTTTGAAGGCAAATTTTAGGATTGCTACTTACTGAGTGGGATTAATTATTGTAGGACTCAACGACACTCTTCAATCCAAGAGCTTAAATCTAAATAAAGTCGTAGACAGTGCTTTCGACTATCCATTTATTTGTGAATTTCAACGTTTGTGATTACAATCGTGTAACTGCATCTGTATTTCTTTTCACTAATATCTAATAAAAAGCTGTTCAAAGCTTATGAATTGTATGTTGTTCAGACAAAATTAGCCCACACATCAATTGGCCAGTAAATCGACGATAAACTCTGTCGCTCAGAACTTGCCAATGGACTCTTCAAGTATTGAAGTGAATTGCATCGTGTTAAGTAATAAATTCGCAGTCAAAGGTAGACGCGGCCATAACAAAGAATATGTTTCGTCTAAATTCCCAAGTTACTACACAATTGGCGGATATATGAGGTTATGTTAAACGTTCTGAATACTTACCAGACTCCTGTAAATACCGGTACACCAAAAAATTTACTTCATCGCTGGAGAAACTCATCCTTCCTGACACCAATGGTGCTAACACAACATATTTTTCAATAATCAGTTAGGTAGATCAGTCCGAATATATACATAAATATCCAGGGAATATATCAGCAAATGCTAGTTCACACTTTCGTATGCCGCGCAGCAACGAGGGCTGTACTGAACCACAATGTCCACAATGTCGGCGACAAATGGTAGGAAAATTTTCAATAGGTAAAAAATTTTGCCGTTAAGGAATCATTTGGGAAATTTAACGACAGCATGGTCAATATTTACAAACAGTTTTTATAATCAAGGAATATCAATATTGCCCATGATTAATGGAAATCTCCTGGGAAAAAAAAATTTGTTTGTATCAATTTACGTTGAACCATTTGGGAAACGTAACAATCGTATATTTATTTATGAAAGCAAATCAGGGGACGAATTCTGCACCTTTTATATCAACACTAAAACTTATTTTTTCGCCCGCGTCAGGTGTTGCGTTTGCAGTAATTACGCTTCATTCAAATAGGTTCAAGAACATTTGTTTGGCGCATAATAAGGGAAGGGATGATGTTTGCAGTATGGCGGCCCCGCGTTTTCATCTCCAGTTCAAAAAATGAGCAGGTCACCTTATTTGGAGCA